TCTCATTAGTGAATAGGAGGGTACAAGTACTGTCTATTTGTTTCATATTAAGTTATTGCCACCATCATCATCATAAACAATACCTTGATATACCTTAAATCCACCATAATGACAACTGACGATAATTATGTATTTAAGTATTTATCCATCCATCCATCCATTTTCCTCCGCTTATCCGGGGTTGGGTCGTGGTGGCAACAGGCCAAGCAGGCTGACCCAGACTTCCCTCTCACCGGCAACATGTTCCAGCTCATTCTGGTGGATCCCGAGGCATTCCCAGTCCAGCTGGGAGATGTAATCCCTCCAGCGTGTTCTGGGTCTTCCCCGGGGTCTCTTCCCAGTTGGACGTGCTTGGAAAACCTCCAGTGGGAGGCGTCCAGGAGGCATCCTAATTAGATGCCCGAACCACCTCAGCTGACTCCTTTCGACGCGAAGGAGTAGCAGCTCGACTCCAAGCTCCCTCCTGATGACCGAGCTCCTTACCCTATCTCTAAGGCTGAGCCCGGCCACCCTACGGAGGAAGCTCATTTCGGCCGCTTGTAGCCGCGACCTTGTCCTTTCGGTCACGACCCAGAGTTCGTGACCATAGGTGAGGGTAGGAACGTAGACCGAGTGGTAAATTGAGAGCTTTGCCTTCCGGCTCAGCTCCCTCTTCACCAAGACGGTCCGGTGCAGCGCCTGCTTTACTGCTGCAGCCGCACCGATCCGTCTATCGATCTCCTGCTCCATCTTACCCTCACTCGTGAACAAGACCCCGAGATACTTGAACTCCTTTGCTTGAGGTAGGCACTCCGTGCCCACCTGGAGGGAGCAATCCACCGGTTTCCGGCAGAGCACCATGGCCTCAGATTTGGAGGTGCTAATTCTCATCCCCGCCGCTTCACACTCGGCTGCAAACCGCCCCAGTGAATGCTGGAGGTCAAGATCTGAGGAGGCTAACAGGACCACATCATCTGCAAACAACAGAGAGGCGATCCCAAGACCCCCGAACCTGATGTTCTCCACCCCCCGACTGAGCCTAGATATCCTGTCCATGAAAGTCACGAACAGGACCGGAGACAAGGGGCAGCCCTGGCGGAGGCCAACACCCACCGGGAACATGTCTGACTTATTGCCGAGAATGCGGACACAGCTCCTACTGCAGTCGTACAGAGACCAGATCGCCCGTTGTAATGGGTCCGGCACCCCATACTCCCGCAGCACCCCCCACAAGAACCCCCGAGGGACCCGGTCGAAAGCCTTCTCCAAGTCCACAAAGCACATGTAGACTGGTTGGGCAAACTCCCAGAACCCCTCCAGTAGTCTTGCGAGGGTAAAGAGCTGGTCCACTGTTCCATGGCCGGGACGGAATCCACATTGCTCCTCTTGAATCTGAGGTTCGACAAACGGTCGGAGCCTCCTTTCCAGCACCCTGGCATAAGCCTTCCCCGGGAGGCTGAGTAGTGTGATACCCCGGTAATTCGAGCACACTCTCCGGTCCCCCATTTTGAAAATGGGAACCACCACCCTGGTCTGCCAGTCCATGGGCACTGATCCCGACCCCCATGCGACACTGAAGAGGCGTGTCAGCCAGGACAGCCCAACTATGTCCAGCACTTTCAGCATCTCAGGGCGGATCTCATCCACCCCCGGCGCCTTGCCACCGAGGAGCTTTTTGACTACCTCAGCGGCCTCTGCCAGGGATATGGGTGAGCCTCCCCCTAGATCTTCAGGCACTCTGCAGAAGACATGTTGGTCGGGTTTAGGAGTTCCTCAAAGTGCTCTTTCCACCGCCCAACGATGTCCCCTGTCCGGGTCAGCAGTCCCCCCCCCCTGCTGAGAACAGCCTGGGGTAAGCCCTGCTTTCCCTTCCTGAGTCGTCGGATGGTTTGCCAGAACCTCCCTGAGGCCAACCGAAAGTTCTTCTCCATGGCCTCCCCGAACTCCTCCCATGCCCGACTTTTAGCATTCGCGACCACCGCAGCTACAGCCCTTCTGGACTGCCGGTACCTGTCAGCTGCTTCGGGAGACCCCTGGGCCAACCAGGCCTTGAAGGTCTCCTTCTTCAGCTTGACGGCTTCCCTCACCTCCGGTGTCCACCACCGGGTTCTCGGGTTGCCGCCACGACAGGCACTGATGACCTTCCGGCCACAGCTCCTAGCGGCCGCGTCCACAATAGAGGCTTTGAACATGGTCCATTCGGATTCCATGTCCCCAACCTCCCTCGGGATGTGTGAGAAGTTCTTCCGGAGGTGGGAGTGAAAGACCTCCCAGACAGGGTCCTCCGCCAGACGTTCCCAGTTCACCCTCACTACACGTTTGGGCTTGCCGGGTCTTTCCAACCGGTTCCCCTGCCATCTGATCCAACTCACCACCAGCTGGTGATCAGTTGACAGCTCTGCTCCTCTCTTCACCCGAGTGTCCAAGACATACGGCTGCAAATCAAATGATACGATTACAAAGTCGATCATTGATCTCCGGCCTAAGGTGTTCTGGTACCAGGTTCACTTATGAGCCACCTTATGTTCGAACATGGTGTTCGTTATGGCCAAACCATGGTACGCACAGAAGTCCAATAACAAAACACAATTCGGGTTCAGATCGGGCAAGCCGTTCCTCCCAATCACCCCCCGCCAGGTTTCTCCGTCATTGCCCACATGAACGTTGAAGTCCCCCAGGAGAACTATGGAGTCGGTAGGCGGGGCCCTTTCCAGGACCCCTCCCACCGGCTCCAAGAAGGCCGGATACTCTGAACTGCTGTTTGGTGCATAAGCACAAACCACAGTCAGGGCCTTGCTCCCCGCAACCCGTAGGCGCATGGAGACGACCCTCTCGTTCTCCGGGGAGAACTCCAACACAACGGCGCTCAGTCGGGGGCTCATGAGTATCCCCACTCCCGCCCGGCGCCTCTCACCCTGGGCAACTCCGGAAAAGGACAGAGTCCAACCCCTCTCCAGGAGCTTGGTTCCAGAGCCAGCGCTGTGTGTGGAGGTGAGTCCAACTATATCTAGCTGGTACCGCTCCACCTCCTGCACCAGCTCTGGCTCTTTCCCCGCTAGCGAGGTGACGTTCCACGTCCCTAGAGCTAGTCTATGCTGCCGGCGATCGGCTCGCCCAGGCCTCCCGCCTGACCCGCCACCCGGTCTGCATTGCACCCGACCCCGATGCTTATCCCTGCGGGTGGTGGGTCCACAGGGTGGCTGCTCCATGCTGTTTATTCAGGCTGAGCCCGACCGGGCCCCATGGGCGAAGGCCCGGCCACCAGACGCTCGCCGACGAGCTCCCCTCCTGGGTCTGGCTCCGGGAGGGTGCCCCGGATTTAAGTATTTATTGTAAAGGAAAATACAACCTTCAGGCACTAGGTGATAATTGAAAATATAAAAATATATTGAAACAATGCAGCAAGGCTTTCAGACATTGTTATTGCTTTCCGACATTTATTGTCCTACAAATCAACTTTTCAAAATGAATGTTATCTCTGCTGACTCAACACACCTGTAGACATGATTCACCCTTCTTCCTTTTTTGTGTATTTAACATCTCTAAATGTGCACGTGACACCTATTCACCTCAATGATAAGTAGAAATATAATAATAATTCATTTGACTTCATTTATAAACCCCTGGACTTTAATAGCTCTAAGGTGTTTCAGAAAGATTTCTGATCACGTTCAAAACCAAAAGTAACAGAAACAACTTCTGATAAGGCATAAATAACAATAGTATGTATTGTTGTCCACACAACTATTAACTGAACCACCTCTGATGAAGTGCAGGATAGATTAATCATAAACATTCAAACAGAGACAAAACTGAGTTATTTGTACTTGTGCTAGTGAGCCATAACTATTCCATAAGAACCTTTCAATCGTAAAAGATATATAATATATAAACCAATTCAAATCTTAAATCAGATTCCACTCAATATCACTGTGGACTTTTTAGGAAATAAATACCTCGGTGACCTCATAGCTGGCTACGGCCATGATGATCACACCAGAAGAACATCACTACTCTGCTCCTCTCTTTCTCTCTCTGTTTGTGTGCATCTTTCCAAAGATAATGCAAACGATATTTGAGAAGTTTGGTCAAATATTGGTAGGGACAATTCGGTCTCCCAAAATACTGGTAGGGACATGTCCATATCCATATGGAAACCTATATACCCTTACCTTCTAGTGTCAGCTCAGCTGGCTTGGATCCTCGTGCTAAAAAAAAAAATCAGGCACCAGGTTACTATCTGCAACTTTTGCTGATGGAAAACCAAAAAAGAGTGAGTAGAGCTGAGTAGGGCTGTGCTGTATACTGTAAGTTGTAATAAGTTGACTTTACAAAAAAAGAAAGTCAGGAAACCGATTGGTTTGGACACTCATCTCTGTCTGGAGTCTAATCACACAAAGGGAAACAATACGTCTTCCACAGGGTTTTAAAGAGATAGTTAGATAGAAGGCAGTGGGGCCCTTTGTCACCATTGCATGTTTAATGGAACTATAATTGGCAATACAACAATAATTGTTTAGACATCAATAACAATTATATAATATCTGGTCCATGCTTCTGTATATCCTTTTATTTTTAACAAACCCACTAATTATTATTATTATTATAATTATTAACTACATACATGGATACTTTTTTCAGAGAAATTGTATAAGTAAAATATAGGCATATGCTTCAAGATTTCAAAAACGATTTCAATTTAACTTTATGTATTTCTTTTCCATTTTTGCTTTCCTTTGGGTAAACATAGTGGGTTACTGTGGGAAGTAAGATTTGTGTTACATTGTGTTCGTTGCGTTTATTAATAAAGAAGAAAGATTGAATTCCTCGCTTGTTTTATGGACAACCTTAACAATTTGTTTCCTATTTTACAGTATGATAGAACCAACTACAGGCGAAGATCTCCCATTTCTGAGTAAACAAACTGTGGCTGCAGGCAGTCCAAAATATCAGATCCCGCTCTGAACAACAACAAACGTCATTTAAAGGGGGAGATGGCCGTGTCACGTGGTCATGTCCGCTTCCTGTTTACCGCCTGATGTACCTTCATACTGTAGTACACATATTGCAACACCACTCTCCACTGCTGGGGCTTTCATCCACAACAACATATGCACCATTGCGATCCTGCAGCCACCGGGTTGACTACTGTATAACTTTAATTCGTTTATCGCCATGATCGTGGTTACTGAGGAGACATGAAGACGTGACATTGAGGAAACGTGCGCAGGCCGGGGAAAGATCCTGGAGATTTCCTGACTCCAGCTGACCGGAGTTCAGTTAGGGGTTGCTAAGAGTCGCGCATCAATTCACCCGATGTCACAAACGCAAACTAAACAGTAGTGATGTGGAGGACTACACAGGTCTGAATTAATTTTCTCAAATGAGTATACAGGGGGGTTTGAGTTAGTGGAAACCACCAACCTACGCCTGGTAAGCTGAACTAGCCTGTTTAGCTAGTCGTGCTAACTCCGGTAGCAGCAACAGCCACCGTGCTGTGCGGGCTGGCTCGTGGGTTGTGTTTGGAGAGTGGAGCAGCTCGCCGGTGCCCTGAATTCAGGAAGAGTCCCCGGCTCTGGCCCCCTCAAGCGGGCAGTCAGGAAGAAGCTGGCTGGGAAGGGATGGCCTGGTCGGTCTTCCCGTTCCAAAGGACAAGGCTCTGCGGTGTTTGAAGGAGGTCGAGTTCGGCTAGAGGCCACCACCGCGGGTCGTGGCGCTATGATGGCCGCCTCTCCCACCTCGGCCGGCGGCTATCCGGCCTCCGGGCTGTCGGTCAGAAAGAGCGAGGAAATAGCGGATTTGATAGATGTGTTTTCCAAGATGCAGTACAGAGCAAAGGAAGCCACTCCTCGGGTAAGTGTGGGGGTCGACATTCGGTGTGCTTCAGCTACTTGACAGCCTGTCATCGTCTCTTGTGTGAACGATAAGCCGAATTGCCTTGCGGAATGAAGGAAATTAAAGTGACGTTGGAAATATCCAAAAGAACATATACTGTAGGTAGTGATTTATTACCTCTTAACAACTTTAAGGAGCCACTGCTCAGTTCGGCATACATATGATCCACTGGACTGCCCGTAATACTCCTAAATGTACAGTGTTTCTATGTATACACACTGTTTTCTACCAGACCACTGTTGATGCATGTTTGTGGTGTGACCCCTCTGTTTTACTCATATCCTTCATTCGTATCCTAAACGGATGAGATTTTAGTGAAGCCCGACATTGTTAAGTGTCTAAGTTTTTTCCCAATGGAATATAATTTTAGTCTGCATATTCTGTTATCAAATTACATAAAAATGGCTTTAGCATGCTGTTGCTCAATCAACAATGATTCAATAGACTGAGCTAAATATTGTCAAACTTTCTTCTATCAGGCAAGCACCAGCTGTCTTCAAATTGTTATGATCCAGAATGCCACATTTGTATAGTGTTAACACTTTCACACTGCGTAGTAACACATTGGATGGTTAAGGGACACACTTCACTGGTGTGGGAGTCTGCATAAGTTTGACACCATCTGCCACTAAATGGCTTGAACAGTACGTGTGAATAATGTTTTTTCAATGAGCTTAGCAGATCCATGGCTGTTGACAATATCCTATTTGGTCATTGTAATGAGAAAGCTACCAGTGTAAAGGGAACGCTGGTTTTAAATACCGCCTGATGTAATTTATATTTGTTGAGTTACCCCTTGTAAATTCCTCAATATTTGTGATTAATCAGTATCTAATATAATAACGCAAGAGATTCCTCAGGTTTTGTTATCCACTTAGTTTGATCATCCAAAAGGACACGTATCCAAGTTCTGTAATTTTTCGCTTTTATTTTTAAACTGCTTGCGTAACTTTTTGTTTTTGCTTCTCCTCAGATGGAGGCGATAGAGAAGCACTGCTTGGAGTTATTCGCCAGAGACTACAAGTACAGTATCATCGACAACTCCAATGGAGAAGTGTGTGGCCATTACCCTCGGCAGATAGTTTTCCTGGAGTACCAATGCACAGATGTCGAGAGAGACAGGTACCCAACCATCCGATTCAAAGTTCAGGCCACTCGGTTACCAATTACCCTCTTGTTTGTTTGGATTGCTCCTCTAATCATGCACACCTTACTGGGGGGCGGGGGCAACGGTCAGCCTCCATCTACCGGCCCCTCTGATAGCGTCAAAGCAGCAGAGGTGATGAGGTGACTGTTTCGTCACGAGGTCACATTGTAGCCGGAAATGGAAAAAGCTTTTCAGTGATTCAATAAGTCCTTATTTCTCACTGCTGTTTATTGAGGTTGAGATATATTTTCCACCGTTCTGCTGGAAATAGAAGATGTGCTTTAACATAGGAAACCCGGTATTCACAACAAAGGCTCTCATAGACTGTATTTAAAAAGATTCCTCGTCGGGCAAACCCCTCGTCAGCTCGGGACATTTTTCTTCGAAGGGAAATATTTTCACGTCTGTCTTGCAGCTTCCCACGATTCAAAGTAATAAACTGCTGAAATAACATTTCAATTATTCATGGCAACACCAGAGTTTCTTTTTAAACTCTGGTCAATTGACCAGAGTTGAGGTCACTTGAAAAATTGTGAATGATAAACATATTTACAAAGGGCTTTGTAGGCAGTATTATTATTTGTAATGACATGTAGTAGTTTATGTAGTAGTGTTTGAAAGCTTTCTGCATCAACCAGTGAATCCTACTCTTTCTGTAATCGCGCATCGTATACATCGATACATTCCATGACACAGCACAGCTGTTTGTCAGACGATGTACACCCGTCTGTCCCGCCTCTTCCCAGATATTAGCGCAGATGTAGTTTTTCTGTTTGCCAGCTAAAAAGAGAGTTGAAGAAGATATTTAGCTGTTTTGATGTTGCTCAGGTGTGTCACTAGACTGAGGTCTTTACAAAAACAACAAGTTGTTTTCACACAAAAGCGTTGATTATCTTAGACGATCATGAGGTCTTTTTTTTTTTTTTTTTAACTCACTTTTTATTTGGTTTTCAACAACATAACAACATGCATTTTCAGACAGTTACTTTCTTTGTCCATTTTTCAGCTGTATGTAGTCTTGGTGCACATGGTATTCAGGTACAATGTACAACGCACAGAAGGAACAACAAACATCAGATGGTGCTCACTCCAAGAGAAAAAGAGGGGGAAAATAATAAGAATAGATAATTGATTACATGCATACATGATAAAAAAAATAAAAACAAGGGATGAAGAAATAACAATTGTCCACTCCTGAATGTAGTATTGTAGGTGCTATATATGCTTTTCAGAGAGGATGGTGTATAATGTGTGTGTGTGTATTAGGGCTGCACGATTATGGCCAAAATCATAATCGCGATTATTTTTATCAATATTGAGATCACGATTATTTATCACGATTATTCATTAATTTTAGGGACATCTTTTTATTGCACTTTCACGTTTAAATGAACAAGAACACTGCTTCCACTTCCATTGTTGTGCTACATTCTGGCTAATGTACAAATCTTTGCATCAGACTGGTCCTGATCACAGTGCATCTCGTAGAAGGAAGATATAAATAAAATAGTATCAACACTTTTTACCCAAAATTAAATCAACAGAGCACTGCTTTCACTTCCATGTTGTGCTACGTTCCAGCTAATGTACACGTCTCTGCATCAAAATAAAACGTATACGGTTCTTATTCACCTGAAGCAAAATATAAATAACATTTTTACCCAAAATAAAGGGCTAACTAAAAATAAATGTGTGTTGCTCACAGTATTTATTGGACACATGTCTTTGGCCAAATGAAATGCGATTGCATCCGTTATTTCAGCGTGTCTTTGGGAGGTGGATGGATGCGCTATGCAGGGTCGCTGTTATGGGTTTCTGGGTTGACGTTGGACATGGACGGAGATTCAGTGAGGTAACGTTAGCTTTGGCCTTACTGCATTCGTCGTACTGTGGTTTGTGGTGATTTTTCAGGTGGTTGAACAAGTTAGTTGTATTGCTATGCGGCGCAGACACAACTCGAACGCACTCTGTGCATATGATTTGTTCTCGGTTAACATCACTTGCCCAAAAAAAAAACTTCCAGACAACGGATGGTGATCCTTTTCGAGGGGCTAGCTCCTCGCCTTCTGCTCCTGACATTTGATTTACCTTTCACACAACACCCGTGACCGTCTGTTCTGTTGTCTGTCTCTCTTCTACTAATACCGGAGTCGACTGCAGACAGAACTTTTTTTGAGGCTGCCGCTGCAGGGTGCGCGCATGACACCTCCCATCTCGTTCGCCCCCTGGTGGTTGGCTGACTGTTAGTTGAGGACGCGCTTGATTTGATATGTAGCAGAGCACGCATTTTAAACATCAATATCGCTGACGATCATGCTCATTTAATTGTAGCAGCCAAAATCGTAATCGCGACTAAAATTCGATTAATTGTGCAGCCCTAGTGTGTATAGAGAGAGTTAACAGGTATCAGTTCAACCAGATCGAGCAACATATAGTAATAACCCTCATTGTATTAATAATGCTATGACAGGACCCCATCGTTTAGTAAAGATAGGCTTTTGGAGCCTTAATGTCCCATACTTTTTGGATCCATATATCGTATGTAGGGGGATCCGGTTTTAGCCATCTGATGGTTATACCCTTCAATGCTGCTGTGAGTAGTATGTTCAGAGGGTATGTTTTGGCCCTCCCATCCAGGCCTCCAGGTATTGCTCCCAATATTGCTACTGTGGGGTCTCCTGTGGAATATCTCTTTGAGGGTGTCAAAGACTTCTCTCCAGTATGCATTTAACTTAGGACATAGCCAGAATATATGTGTGATTGGCAGCATGTGTTCCACAGTTCCGCCAACACAAGTTGGAATGTGTTGGGCCCATCTTGGCTACTATTTCTGGTGTTCTGAAGAATCTGGTGATTATTTTCCATTTAAATTCTCTCCAGGTGTTTGAGTTTGAAACTAGGTGTGCCTCTGTGCATATTTCCTCCCAGGTATTCTGTGGTATGATCTTGTTCATTTCCGCCTCCCATCTCTGCTTTATTCGTAGGGAATTACTTAGATTCATAGATAGAAATATGTTATATAGTTTACTTATTGTTTTCTTATCTTCGTTCCCCATCTGTATTTCTATTAAAAACCTTTCTATAGGCATACGTTTCACAAACTTTCCCCAGTCTTTGTATGTTGTTGGAAAAGTTCTCAATTGTAGGTATCTGAAGAAATCTGTTTTGGGGAGATCAAAATCCTTTTTCAGCTGCTCGAATGTCTTGAGGTTGTCCTCATTAAATAGCTGGTGGAGGTAAACCAGTCCCATGTCTGACCACATTCTAAAGCCCGTGTCTAGATTGTTAGGTGTGAAGGTCTTCATAGATCCAATAATGAAGTTAACTTTGGAAGCCCAAAAGATGTCTGTATTTTGTTCCAGATTTTAAGAGTGATCTTAGTCCACTCTGCCAGTTCTTTTATGGGCACATCTAAAAAAGGCAAAAAGGGCTTGTAAGGGCTCTGGGCATAAATTTTTCTCAATATTAAGCCAGCGATTGCTATCAAGGGTTTCATTTCTGCAGCCCAGAAGTAGTATTTTAAGTTTGGAAGTTTAAGGCCTCCATTTAGCTTAGATAGCTGTAAGGTTTTAAGTCTAATTCTGGGATGCTTTTTTTGCCAGATAAATTTGGAAATTATTTTATCCAGGTTATCAAAAATCGGTTTTGGAATTTCTATAGGTAGCATCTGAAATAAGTAGAGAAGTCTGGGCAGAACATTCATGCGAATACTTTCAACACGACTGAGCAGGGACAGAGGGAGCGTAGACCATTGTTCCAGGTCACGATCAATGCACCGAATTATTTTACTATAATTGGCCTCTTACAAATTCTGTAAGGATGGGGGGATGTATATGCCGAGATATTTTATACCGTCTTTTGGCCATTTAAATCCACTTTAGAGTTTTACACTTCTTGAGATGTTACCGTTGATATCCATAGCCTCTGTTTTTTCCACATTTACCTTGTATCCTGAGTAGTATCCATACTTTGAGATGAGTTCCTTTTAGATGTGGTATTGTTGATGCAGGCTGCTTCAGATATAATAATACATCATCAGCGTAAAGAGATATTTTATGTTCTTCTTTATGTATTACAGTTCCTTTTATTTTGTTGTCATCTCGGATGAGCTGGGCCAAGGGTTCGATACTAATTGCAAACAGCAGGGGTGATAAAGGGCAGCCTTGTCTGCAGCCGCATTCCAATGTGAATCTTTGTGATCTATGTCCATTAACTTTAACAGCTGCCTGCAGTGATGCATATGTTGTTTGTATCCAATTTAAAAAGTTTGGGCCAAATTTGAACCATTTTAGTGTTTGGAATAAATATTGCCATGATACCCGGTCAAATGCTTTTTGAGCATCTAGGGACATAATCATTGCTTCTGTTTTCTCTTCTTTTTGATGGGATATTATGTTTAATAAGCGTCTTAAGTTATCACCATAGTATCTTCCAGTGATGAATCCCGTCTGATTAGGATGGATGATTCCAGTTATTACATGATTAACTCTTCTTGCTAAGATTGCTGTTAGAATGCGCAGGTCCCCATTCAGCAGTGATATTGGTCTATAGGATTGGCACTCTGTGGGGTCTTTACCTTCTTTATGAATTACCACTACAGTTGCCTCAGTCCAAGACGGTGCTATAGTTTTAGATTCTAATGCATGGTGGTATGCTTTTAGCAACAGTGGTGATAACATATCCTTGAATGTTTTATAAAATTCATTAATATATCCATCTGGTCCTGGGCTTTTATTATTTTTGAGCGTTGATATCACCTGCTTGATCTCCCATTCCTCAATAGGCTTATCTAATTCCTTAGCTGCTGATTCTGTCAGTTCAGTTAACTTTATAGGATTTAGGAACTCTGTAAGTTTTGCATCATCAGAGCAGGTATCCGTGTTTTTGTATAAAGATTCGTAAAACTCTGCAAAGGATTCTGCTATTTTATCTGGTTTTGTAACAAATGTTTCTTTTGATTTGATTTTCTGTACCG